GAAAACAACACCTTTCACAATAGCATCCAAAAAAATGAAATACCTAGGAATCAATCTAACAAAGGATATAAAAGATCTCTACCCTGAAAATTACAGTACTCTGAAAAAGGAGAATGAAGTGGGTATCAGAAAATGGAAAGATACCCTTTGCTCATGGGTAGGAAGGAGCAATATAGAGAAAATGGCCATTAATTTTCAAAATTGCTACACACATTTAATGAAATGTCAATCAAAATTCCAACACTATATATCGCAGAATTAGACAAAATAATCATTAAATTCATTTGGAACCAGAATACACCTACAGTAACAAAGGCAATTCTGGGAAATAAAGGCAAGCCAGGAGCATCACATCCCTGACTTGAAATTATACTACAAAGCCACACTGATTAAAAAAAAAAAAAAAAAAAAAAAACCAGCATGATACTGGCAAAAACAACTGACCCAAAGATCAATGCAACAACCTAGAAGATGTAGAAATAATTCCAGACATATTCAGTTACCTTATATCTGAGAAAGGGGCCAAACACATACACTGGAAAAAAAAAATAGCCTCTTTAATAAATGGTGCTAGAAAAACTGGCTTTGCATATGTCAAAGATTAAAAGTGGACTCACCTTTTACCATGTAGTAAACTAAATTCAAAATGGATTAAATATCTAAATATTATGGCAGAATATTAAATCTACTGGAAGAGAAAATAGGTAAAACTTAAACACACTGGTGTAGGCAAAGACTCTAAGAATAAAATGCCAATCATATAACAAGTATCACAAAGAATCAACAACTGGGATCTCATCCTATTAAAAAGGTTTTGCACAACAAGGGAAACCATCAACAAAGTGAAGAGACAATCCACAATGTGGGAAAAAAATGTTTGCTTGCTGTTCTTCAAACAAAGGTTTACTATCAAAAATACATAAAGAACTCAAAAAATCTCAGACCTCCCAGATTTAAAGACGTCATTCAAAAATAGGCTTCTGTTATGATTAATATTTGTCAGATGAAGAAATATAAACAGAAAATACATGAAAAAATATTCAGCATCACTGGTCATTCAAAGGATGCAAATTAAAACACCACTAAGGGCTGGTGAGATGGCTCAGTGGTCTAAAGCACCTACTTAGAACAAGCTTGGCAAAGCACAGGGACCGCGATTCAATCCCCTAGCACCACATGCCAGGCAGCCCCGCCCCCTGGTGGGCTGAGCTGGCCACACACACACACACACACACACACACACACAAATAAAGAAATAAATAAATAAAAACACTACTGTGATACCATCTCAACCTGCAAAGAACGACTATTATCAAGAAATCAACCAATACCCAGTGCTGAAAGGGTTGTGGGGAAAAAGGAACCCTTCTCCACTGTTGGTGGGAGCGTAGACTGGTATAACCACTGTGGAGATTCCTTAAAACAACTGGGATTGGAGCTGTCATTCAACCCAGCTATTCCCCTGCTGGGTATCTTCCCAGAAAAAAAAAAAAAATTACAAACATCATACCACTTTTATATAGATATAGATATAGATATAGATATAGATATAGATATAGATATAGATTCCCATGTTTATAGCAGCACAATTTGTTATTGCTAGATCATGAAGACAACCCAAATGCCCATCAACTGAGAGTGGATAAAAAGATGTGGTCTTTTATATAATGAAGTAGTACTCAGCCATAAAGAAGGATAAACTGGAGACTTTTATTGGAAAATGAATGCAACTTGAGTCCATACTCATAAGTCACATAAACCAGACACAAATGTGTAAACATCATATTGTCTCCCTAGTATGAAAAGCTCAAAAGAGTAAATGTGCTCCAAAATGTACAATAGATATTGTAAAATGGGAAGAAACTTGAAAAGGACAGAGAAACTGGTTTATGGGAATGGGAAAAAAGGGAAAAGCAAAGTAATAAATAAATAAATAAAATAGCTAAAATAGTCACTACTAATTCCTCTCAGTTTCTTGAAAAGATAGGTCTGTGCTAATACTGTTTGGATAATTAAATGCTGATATACTCTAAGTAAAGATAATAATATACAATTTATTAACCATCATTACTCTCCTATCACATTATTTTGGAATTTGGTTTTGTGTTCTTGGTTTTTGTTACTTTCTCTTTAAAATAAAAAAGTAAAGTTCTGTTTCATAAAAGAGCAAAAAATACCACATATATGGTATCAAATCATCCTACAAATGACCAGTAATGTTGAACATTTAAATCTCACAATGTTTTAGGTTATGGTTCTGTTTTGGCTTATTACACATTTAGTACTTGCTCCTTGGAAAAACGTTCAAACTATAAGTGGATGAAGTAAAGGGAAAACCACCATTCCCACTCTGCACCTGCAACCCGACCCCCTCTGGGCCTGCCTGCCCACTTCCTGTGCTTCCCACTCCACTTCCTGCACCTCCCACTCCCCCTGCCGTTCCAGCGGAGGCAAGTGTTGGAAGTAGCATTTATGTTCTCAATAGAAAAAGCACTGCAAGCCCTAATGAACGCCGAGTCTCAAGACTCAGGTGGCAGCCAGCACTAGCCGGCACACATCTTTATGCTTCTATTAATCACTACTGCGGAAATAGCATGCAATATCACAAATTCTATACAAAGTGCATATTCAAAACTAGCAAAAATCATACATTTGTAAACAAAACTGGACAGTCATAAAAGTAAAAGCAATATTAATTTTACACCTGTATATTGAGGAAACACTTTCATTTGAAGCATCGCTGAGGACTAGAGAATTTACATTATTTAAACTTTACATTTAGAAATGTGGCTTTAAATATTACCTGTTCCAGTCCACGCTGACTGACCATCAGTAAGAGTAACAACAAAACCAGATCCTAGCGTTTTCTCCCAAGACACTTGTAAAAAATGAGTTACATTGGGTTTGGAAGCAAAATAGACTCTGCTTATTTTCTTCTCCATTTCTGGTTACCTGTAACAGAAAAATAAAATTAACAATTTTCACAGAAAAACTGTACTATACGACGATGCCTTCTGTACTTGCCTCTGCCCTGACAAATGCCAGCGAAGGCAGGAAGGAGAGCCAAAGCACCAGGACAGAGCCAGCCACTGATCTCGGCAGGTCACGCTTGTGTTCCCTGCTGCACTGGATTTCATACATGAGAAAGCAGGGGCTCAGATGTGGCAAATGACTGGCACATGTAAGAGGACTAAATAAAAAGCATCATTTCAACACTAGGAAGAGCAGCTTTTATTTTCTTTTCCCAAGAGGCAATAGAAATGGTCACAATGTGAAGGACCCAAGAGCGTGCTCAGCCCTAGAATGGGACTGTAGTTAGTGAGGATGCACTTAACAGAACACCTTCATCTCTACCTGCAGAAAGTCTGTGACACTGCAACCAAAGGCAAGAATAAAGCACGGCAAAAGAAACCTAAGAGCCCAAGAGTTGCCTTCTCTAGAAGACAGGTGCCCAGGCCCATACCTCAAACACCCAAGACAGGACCCCTGTGACAGACAGAGAGGGTCACATAAATCATCACAGCATGAGACCAACTGCACATTTTGGCCATTAAAAAACTGTTTTATTGAAGCAGTGTTAGCTACAGGCAGAAATGTGCACATATAAACAGTACAAATGATGAATTTTACAAGTAAAGCCTCAAAGTGCTGAGGACAATGATTCATTTTAGAACCCAACCTAGAACACTTTCGCACACTTGCTCTCCATCTCTGTCTCTGCCCAAATAGCCACTGACACGGACCAGAGTTTGGGTGGCTTGGTACTGCAGAAAACTACTGCACGGCGAGTCGTACATTGTGCTCGCCTTCTTCAGTCACTGTGTTTCTGCAGTTCGTCCATACTGTCTTATGTTCAGAGATCACTCTCAAGACTGCACGTTATTCCATTACATAGATACAGGCAGGCTTGCTTCCCCTTTCTCCTCATGAAAGGCCCTTGACTACACATGGTGCTACCTGAACTCTCCAGGGCCCTGCTGCTGGGAACACAGCCACCATCGGACTGCTGGCTCAGAGAGTGCGTGCCTTCGCTTCGGGTTCCATGCGGCCAGTAGCTTCTTCACAAACTGTACCAATGTAAAACTGATCCATGATAATTCTATCTTTCTCATTTCAGCTATTTTGATGGCTATGTGGTGGGATTATGTCAAAGTTTTAATTCAGATCTCCTTGATAATTCAAGGATGTTGAGCCCATTTCACATGTTAATTGAGAAGACAGATGCCCCAGTTTGTGGAGTCTTTATTCAGTCTTGACAACATTCTCACCAATTTGTCTTTTTTCTCACTGGTTGTGTTACTATGCTGCTTTTGCTTCCCTCTTTAATTTGCTCTTTATTTTGCACAGGAATTCTTTTATACTTACACAGTGTATCCTTTCCCACTCTCTGAAAGGCAGCTTTAGTTGTGTTGTTTTTTTTTAAGTTAATTTTATGAAGTACAATTTACCAACTTTCTTATGAAGTGTGTGTGTGTGCAGCCTAGGACAGCCTCAAACTCACGGCAATATTCTTGTCTCAGCCTCCTGAATGCTGAGATTCGAGGTGGGCACCACCATACTCAGCTCTTTATGAATTTTGAAGTTATAGTGTCAATTTCTGAAAAAGTACCAACCAATGATTTAAAAGAATAACTTCTGGGGGCTGGAGAGATGGCTCAGTGGTCTAAAGCACCTACTTAGAACAAGCTTAGCAAAGCATCAGGGACCGCGGTTCAATCCCCCAGCACCACATGCCAGCCAGCCCCGCCCCCTGGTGGGCTGAGCTGGCCACACACACACACACACACCACACACACTCACTCTCTCTCTCTCTCTCTCTCTCAAATAAATAAAATAAAATAAAATAAAAAAATAAAAAATAAAAACAATTGTTAAAAAAAAAAAAAAGAATAACTTCTGAAGATCTGATACCCTAATAGTATTGAGCCCTCAAACCAATAAGAATGGCATGTCATTGTATTATGTAGGTCTTCTTTCTGTTGACATCGTTTTCATTTCAAAACAAAGGTCTTACATTTCTATGGCAACATAAAACTGTAGGTATTCAAAGTAAATGTCTTAGGGGCTGGGGAGATGGCTCAGTGGAATAAGCGCTTCCCTGGCAAGCGCAAGGGCCTGAGTTCAATCCCCGGTTCCGGGAAAAAAAAAAAAAAGTACATGTCTTAATAATCCAAATGCCACACACCATTACTCTGATTTAATATCTACTAAACAATCTAATCATCTATACATATGAGTACACCAACATTTTATAAAAACTAAAAGTCCTTAACAAACAACTCTTTTAGTTTAAAAAATACATATAAAACACTAAAAATGGCAATAGGCAATTGATTTTCTTTTTCAAGTGCTAGGGATCAAGCATAGGCCTTATGCAAGGGAACTGCTCTACAACTGAGCTAAACTGTTGGTCCACTTTTTAAAGATCGAACCTTGGCTCCTAACAGAAAACTTACAAACCTAGACTAGAAAGACAAGACCAGGCACATTTAGGGTGGTATGGCTGCAAACTAGAACAGAAAAACAAAATTCTTGTTTAAACCATTATGAGATTACTAAAAGCCTATTTTGGTTACCTGGACACATATCATCCTACACAACACTGTTGAGAGGTGTGTTGAGTTGCTATTACCACCAAATGCTCACTGATGGCTATTTATCTTTTCTCCTGGAGAAATCTGGCCCAATCTTAGGACAGTAAAGTCAATAGAATATAGCCTGGAAATGTCAACAGTGCACACTAAAATGTGAAGTATTTCTATAAAAGCACCATTCTTCAGACTTCCATAAGAAAATAATTTCCTTGCCAAAAATGTAAACAGAAAAACAAAAGATGTTATCTATGTTTCATCATAAAATACATTACATTTTCTACTCTATATTGCATACAACAAAAGAATTAGGAATATATAACACAGGACCAGAAGGAAGTCAGATGAGGCAATCATTATCATCATCACCATCCATCTCTTAAATACTTTGTAACTCTACAAGAACTTTGTTTTTTTTTTATTTTTTTTATTTATTTTTTTTTTTTTGTGGAACTGGGGATTGAATTCGGGCCCTCACG